TGGAAAAATCCCTATTAAGTTGCATTGTACTGGTTTACATGGAAAAATCCCTATTAAGTTGCATTATACTGGTTTACATGAAAAAAACCCTATTAAGTTGCATTATACTGGTTTACATGTAAAAACCCCTATTAAGTTGCATTATACTGGTTTACATGGAAAAATCCCTATTAAGTTGCATTATACTGGTTTACATGGAAAAATCCCTATTAAGTTGCATTATACTGGTTTACATGGAAAAATCCCTATTAAGTTGCATTATACTGGTTTACATGGAAAAATCCCTATTAAGTTGCATTATACTGGTTTACATGGAAAAATCCCTATTAAGTTGCATTATACTGGTTTACATGGAAAAATCCCTATTAGGTTGCATTATACTGGTTTACATGTACAAATCCCTATTAAGTTGCTTTATACTGGTTTACATGTAAAAACCCCTATTAGGTTACATTATAGTGGTTTACATGTAAAAATCCTTATTAAGTTGCATTATACTGGTTTACATGTAAAAACCCCTATTAAGTTCCATTATACTGGTTTACATGTAAAAACCCCTATTAAGTTCCATTATACTGGTTTACATGTAAAAACCCTATTAAGTTGCATTATACTGGTTTACATGAAAAAAAACCCTATTAAGTTGCATTATACTGGTTTACATGGAAAAATCCCTATTAAGTTGCATAATACTGGTTTACATGGAAAAATCCCCATTAAGTTGCATTATACTGGTTTACATGGAAAAATCCCTATTAAGTTGCATTATACTGGTTTACATGGAAAAATCCCTATTAAGTTGCATAATACTGGTTTACATGGAAAAATCCCCATTAAGTTGCATTATACTGGTTTACATGGAAAAATCCCCATTAAGTTGCATTATACTGGTTTACATGGAAAAATCCCTATTAAGTTGCATTGTACTGGTTTACATGGAAAAAACCCTATTAAGTTGCATTATACTGGTTTACATGGAAAAAACCCTATTAAGTTGCATTATACTGGTTTACATGTAAAAACCCCTATTAAGTTGCATTATACTGGTTTACATGGAAAAATCCCCATTAAGTTGCATTATACTGGTTTACATGAAAAAAAACCCTATTAAGTTGCATTATACTGGTTTACATGAAAAAACCCTATTAAGTTGCATTATACTGGTTTACATGGAAAAATCCCTATTAAGTTGCATTATACTGGTTTACATGGAAAAATCCCTATTAGGTTGCATGATTACACTGAAGTCCTTGAAACTGCTGAAGTCCTTGAAACTGCTGAAGTCCTTGAAACTGCTGAAGTCCTTGAAACTGTTGAAGTCCTTGAAACTCTTGAAATCTTGAAACTGCTGAAATCCTTGAAACTGTTGAATCCTTGAAACTGTTGAATCCTTGAAACTGTTGAATCATTGAAACTGTAGAAATGTCTGAAAGAGCTGAAGTCCTATTAAAATGCATGGGCCTATTAAAATGCATTGCAGAATTCTCAATGCAGATTTTTGTCCGATTGCGGAAAAACCGGAAATCGCTGAAGTCCCAAAAGTAATAGCAATAATCTCCCAAACATGTGGAACGTTTTGATGTATAACTTGTGGAAATTGTTGAAAATGTGAAAGCTGTGAAACGTGTCAAAAAAAATGACGGAATAAAGAAATACAAAACCAATGGTTGACTGCGGAAGGTTCCGCAGTCAATCAAATAAGGAAAAATATGGAGAAAGAAGCAACTATCCAAGCATTGATGGTAAGAAATTAGTAGCGTTGAAAATGAGACAAGATGTGAATCGGTCTGGGATTGAGTCCAGCAGAACACATTTTATTGATGTTACCAAGACCACACAAAGAGAGTTTTACAGCTTGCATGTGGTATTAAACCATGAGATTGTACCATAAATAGTCCAATCAGCAGCTGCCACGGTGCCAGTAGCTTCGGCCTTCAGATAACCAAAACATTAAGTGGAAATTCACTGGCTTGTGCATACTGGCCTAATGATGAGTTCAGCTTTAACCACAGTTACTCGAAAAGTTTTGTCAGAGATCCATAGTAGGTCTGCTATATGGCATGCTATTTTCAATGCTATGGCAAATGGGCTCTATGCACCCACCACTTCCGTGTTTTAGATAAAACAACACTTGACTTCCGGTGCGCGGGGATTGGCTTGAGTTTCACTGGAGTTCACCAGATGTTTACATGAGTTTCCTACATAATGCTGAAAACAAGAATTAAACTGTGAGGATGCTGGGCAGCAGTGCTCTTTGATTGTGCTGTCATTGAGCTTTCATAAAGTTAACTGATCTCTTTGAGTGGCCACAGTCAAAGCTATTCCTCAGAGAGAAAGCACGTCAACACTTTTGGGTCAGTCTCACAGCTGAATGTATCAATCTAATTACCAAAAACTTCACTACAACTCACCACAATGCCATAGCGCTAGTACAGACAGGGGGTAAACAAGCCGTTCTTTGTTTACAGGAAATGATGTAACGCCTCCCCATGCATATAGCCCATGATTTTCTTGATGAACCTAAAATGCAATAAATAATAGTTAAATAAATAAAACATATAATTGTCCTACAAGAATCTTTCCTTAATGTTGGTCCAGCTTTGGTACAATCCAATAAATATACAGTGGAGAAAAAAATATTTAGTCAGCCACCAAGCAAGTTCTCCCAATTAAAAAGATGAGGGAGACCTGTAATTTTCATCATGGGTATGGCACCTGCTTGGACTCGTTATGAGAACTTTTTGGTAAAAACTTAACTGTGTGCTGTGTTTGGAGGAGAAATCATGCTGAGTTGCATCCAAAGAACACCAAATCTACTGTGAAGCATGGGGGTGGAAACATCATGCTTTGGGGCTGCTTTTCTGCAAAGTGACCAGGACGACTGATCTGTGTAAAGAAAAGAATTTATGGTGCCATGTATTGTGAGTTTTTTAATGAAAACCTCCTTCCATAAGCAAGGGCATTGAAGATTAAAAATGGCTGGGTCTTTCAGCATGACTGTAAAGGCAGTTTTATTTCCCATTAAGAAAATGCTTATTCTAAGTTAATTATTTTGTTTTGGTAGGCACCTATGCTTTATTTTGTGTGTGTTTGGGTTGGGCCAGGTAAAGTACAGTTAATTTTAATGACAGTAGGGGGAACCACGCCCAACAGTTTTTCGATTGTGCTATTTTGTGGAAAACTGCATTGGATGTGGAATTGAAACTGTTCGTTTGGAACCATGAAACCTGTGCCTCCATTAAAACCACATTTCTCAACAATTGCCACAGCAATGACAAAGATCCAAAACACACCGCCCGGGCAACGAAGGAGTGGCTTTGTAAGAAGTATTTCAAGGTCCTGGAGTGGCCTAGCCAGTCTCCAGATCTCAACCCCATAGACAAATCTTTGGAGGGAATTGAAAGTCCATGTTGCCCAGGGACAGCCCCAAATCCCAAATCTACATGGCCAAAATATCAGCAAGTGTGTGAAAACCTTGTGAAGACTTACAAAAAGCGTTTGAGCTCTGTCATTGCCAACAAATTATTGAGATTAACTTTTGTTATTGACCAAATAAAAAATGTCCACCATAATATGAAAAAAAGAAAAAAACTCTTAAATATATCTGACAATGTGATTTTCTGGATTTTCTTTTCCCATTCTGTCTCTCAAAGTTGAGGTATAACTATGATGAAAATTACTTTTTCGTGGGAGAACTTGTATGATTGGTGGCTGACTAAAGACTTTGTTGCCCCACTGGATATCTACAGTATACAATGTTCAGAATCTTGTGGCTTCATGAGTTGTCAACATGTCGTCTTTACTTTCCACCACAGTGAACTGTAGGATGCTATAGGATCATGTTTTTGGAAGGTTTTCTCTACTGAAGGACCCCTGCACCTGACAATCTATAACACAGTTTATCCTGTAGAACAACCCTGACTCTTAAGGTTGAGTTACTATGCTGCCCACTCGTACAGCCACTGGTTCACCACAAGATCAACTTTTTTCCTCACATAAAAAAGTTGCATAATGCCTCTCTAAATAAAAGTAAACATTTTATCAAAGTACCCCCCAAATGCAAACAAAATAAATATAAAAAAATATGCATACTAGATGCAAACCTTTCATACACAAAGACTAACTTTTAAATTTGGATCACGACCAGCTCTTTTCTATTCATTAAATTCAGCCCTAGACAAAAATGAGTTTGACACCCCTGGGTTAACCTTTTCATATGAAGCGTTTAAGAGTATGGGCTTATATATAATCACATTTTCTTATTGTGTCTTACTCTGTCTGCATGTATTTCGGCTTTCAGCGCGTCTCACTAAAGGCTAATGAATGCAAGCCTCAACAAACACAAAAGCCGACAAACCGAGCCGCCTGTCAATCAAAGTCACCTGTGCAGCACGAATACATTATAATAACATTTTCTTGGATACCCTCTTCTTGAGCGTCCAAGGACATTTTGTAAAGTACAAATATATGTGTAAAAGTCTCTCCATGGCCTCGCACCAAAATATATTAGTGACATGTTAGTCCCATATGAACCAGCCAGGACTCTGAGGAGCACAGGGACTGGACTCCTGTTAGTGCCCAGAGTCAGAACTAAACATGGGGAGACTGCTTTTCAGATTCATGCTGCTAAAATCTGGAACAGTCTTCCTGAAGATGTGAGACAGGCCTCCTCTCTGACAATGTTTAAAACCAGGTTAAAGACAGTTCTGTTTAGCTGTGCATACAACTGAGGGATTTTATACTTTTAGCTTTCTTTTTAATGTTCTGTGATTATTTATGATTTTAATGCTTTCTTGTTTTGTTCAGCACTTTGAATTGCCTTGTGTATGAATTATGCTATATAAATAAACTTGCCTTGCCTTGCCTATATACAGCACTTGCTGGACTATGTTGAATTCTTGCTCTTCAAAATGCCCTGAGACAAAACTGTTCTTTCTAACACACTTTTTTTCTGCTCCCACCCCTTCCCCCCAAGATTAGCTTTGAACACTTTCTCCAGAATGACCACCACCACCACCAGCAGCAGCAGCTCGTCCGATGAGTTCTTCCAGGCCACAGACCACGCAGAACAGACATTCCGGAAGATGGAGACCTACCTGCAGCACAAGCAGCTGTGTGATGTGCTGCTGATAGCCGGAGACCACAAGATCCCGGCCCACAGGTCATATTGAACTGAGATGCAAGCAATTACAGTGTACATGACGGGGCAACTCAAAGCATGTTACACTTCATTGTGCTTAGTCAATAGGGCATCAAGGCAGGAGTGGGTCAATGCTCAATGGCTGTGTTGGGTCATTCCTACGTATAGATTGATTCGAGGGAAAAGGGGAAAAAAGTTCACAAATAAATAAATATGTACATCTCCATCAAACAAATGGGGGTATTTGTGGTTATGAGATTTAAATTATGCAATAATAAAACCTTAACTGGAACTAAGTCAACAAAAAAGGTATATACAGGTGTCTGAAAATCATAATGGTTCAAAAGTTAATTTATTAATATAATTCAACCTAAAATGTGAAACCAATATATGACATATGCCCATATGATGAGGACATCTAAGTCCATTTGAATGATATGAAAATTTTTATAGATGTCTTTTCTGGGTTTTTCAAAAGCTTTGAGCCCATTATCAACATTTCAACAAATAAATGATATCTTACTGCTTGTACTTTGTCTGTCATATATTAGTTTCATCTGAATCCCAATAAATTAACTTTTGGATGAGATTTTAATTTTCCAGGTTTCACCTGTACATTTTAGTTATATAACATATCTTTATTGTCCATAAAATGGCTTATGTCTTATATCTTCTTTACTTTTTAACTGTTTGTACATTTCCAGACTATTTGGACTCCCTGGGTGATCTTATTGATCAATTAGGTTCTATCTTATCTTATGAACATCTTATCTTCAACTTGTTCTCTATCTTTCATTTGTATTTTTTAATACATTATTATTATAAAAAATAATAATGTTTTATTTATAATATTATTAATATTTTATAACAAACGTAAAACACACACATAAGTTCAGGGCAGAAAGAAGAAGAAGTAAAATATGAAAATTTGTTAAAATAAAAATAAAAACATTGAGAGGGTTGTGGGTTCGAGCCCACCTCAAGACCTACTTCACGACTCCCACTGATGACTGCTGTCGTTGTGTCCTTGGGCAAGACACTTAACCCCACTTTGCCTGAAGCCCCCACTGAAAGATCTCAGCTCCTGTGGACTCACCACCTGCAGGAGGATCAGTGAGGGGCTGGTGCTCTGTGACTGGGTGCAGCTCTGACTGCCACCCCCCGACCCAGAAATGGATTAAGGGGAAGAAAATGGATGGATGGATGAGAGGGTCATTGTAGTTATTCTTGTTGATCAGTTTATATTAACGCCACACAAAAACGTTGTCATCTAAATTGTTCTATGATCCGCCTCTTGATTTAGATAAATGACGAAACATAATTTAATTAGGAACCGGACGGCTAAAGCTATTAGCCACAAAGCACGGGATACGGTCATAAATGAAACACTGTTGTCGCATGGGGGGAAATACAAGATGGCATGAAACTACTGCTTGATTAATGACTATGTTCAGTGCTGTAACATGTCATTGTGCTATAAGATACATCAGCTTTGATTTAATAACCATTTATGAAAAGCAAGAGCAGTAATTTATGGCTATAGCTCTGTCTGCAGATTAGTGCTGAGTGCCGTGTCGGACTACTTCGCTGCTATGTTCACCAACGACGTCAGAGAGGCCAAACAGGAGGAGATCAAAATGGAGGGTGTGGATCCTGACGCCCTACAGTCATTGGTCCAGTTTTCATATAGTGGTGAGCTTATATAATGTGTTTTTTATCAGCTTACTTTTGCGTACATTCATTAGGGAATATATCTATTACTTATACTTTATTACTTACTTATTTATGATTTTCTTCATATGTTTGTAATGAAGATATTTTAGTCCTATAAGTTACAGGGCATAAAAGAGGCAATAAATAAATACATTGCGTTTACATGCAAGTTAATAAGAGCATGAGCAAAATACTTTTCTTTGTAATTCTTTGTTCATTTCTGATCAAAAATGACAATATGAAGACAGATGTGTGTCTTAATTTACCTTGATCTATCATTGTTTGCCTTTCATACTATTGGAAAAGCGTTGGTAGTAGACCTGTCATGTGTGTTCTTATTTTATTATTTTCAATAGTAATGATGTACTGCCAAATGTCAGGTTATCCTGCAGTGATTTCGCTAAAAGTGAAACTCCAAAAAATAGATTTAAAAGGCAATTTAGTTATTACAATGTGAAACTGGCTCATTACAGTCAAAGCTATATATCAAGCCTTTATTTGTTATTATGTTTGATTATTTAAACATCTCCATGATTGTCACAATCATAACAAAGGGCTTGACATTTCTCTTTGCGTGTAACGAGGCTTTCATATATTGGTGTCACCTTTTAAGCTGAATTAACAAAATAAATGAACCTCTGAATATTATTCTCCTTATCTAATTTTCTGTGTTTAACCTGTATTTTTACTGTGACAATTACCTCCTCCATAACCTTTGCTTTGTTTCGTTCTGTTTTGTCTATGTCTTTGTCTGAAAAAAATAAATAAATATATGTAGTTGGAAAGAAAACAATAAAGAAAATATGATAGTATAGCAATAACATTAGCAGACATAATACTGGACTGGGCATTTTGCTACCGCGCTATTTCTAACAATCTAATCCACTGCCACAACTAGCACTTCATTGCAAGTAACAGGGTCCAACTAGAAATTTGAAATGCATTACCTTTCCCCCCCCGTGCTGACACTCGGGCTATATCCACCTGTCAAATGACTATATATTTTGCTTGCCCTGACATTGCAGGTGTCCTTGAGCTCAAAGAGGAGACCATCGAGAGTTTATTGGCAGCGGCGTGCCTCCTCCAGCTTTCCCAGGTCATTCAGGTTTGCTGCAACTTCCTGATGAAACAGCTCCATCCCTCAAATTGCTTGGGTATTCGCTCATTTGCTGACGCCCAGGGCTGCACAGACCTGCTCAACGTGGCTCATAACTACACCATGGTATGAAGCTTTTATTAGGGGCTGCACGCTGTATAAGGACGCGGGAGGGCTGAATCATTAACACGTGGAGAGAAATTGCTTTGTTTGGAATTGTAGTAATAGAGAGGATTTACTGGTGTTGTTTTTTTAGTTAACAAATTTTTTTTCTATTTTTTATACGTATTTTCTTTCATATTGTTCTCTGTGGAAAAGTAGTACTTTCTTTTGCGTTTTTTGCATGCATGCTGTTTTCAAAATATACAATAATAATAATAATAATAATACTCCAAAGTTGGATAGCTTCACATGGGGAATAAAATAAAAATCAATAAAGAAATAAAAAGGTTTTTTACAGAAAAGCTTGTTTGAACAGACAACATCAATCAACGTCATTGCATTTTCTATTAAAAAACCCTCAACATTAGAATATTGTGCCATTGGCATTTTTCACTGTAGTTGACCTAAGAAATTTCAATATAATTGTTTCGCACATTACAGCAGAATAAAAAAAAGAAAAGATAAGGATCTATTATTTAAGATAATGGATAATAGAATATTAAAATAATAAAACCACTCTGAAGCTATAACTTTTCATGAGATATACAGAGAATATGACTAGAACAAACATGAATAATTCATTCATTCATCCATCCATCCATTTTTTTCTGCTTCATCCGTTGCCTGGTCTCGGGGGCAGCAGTCTAAGCAGAGACGCCCACACTTCCCTATCTACACACACTTCCTCCAGCTCGTCCGGCGGAACCCCAAGGCGTTCCCAGGCCAGCGTGTCCTCGGTCTTCCCTGGAGTCTCCTCCCAGTGGGACGTGCACAGAACACCACACCACCACACCACATGAATAATAAAATAATATAATAGCAGTAGGAAAAGGTGAATTATTATTATTGATTAGTCAAGGAAAGGGGGCGTTACAAAATCTCTCAAAACTATTATGGTTTCATTCTCGTGAAGTCACATGAATCTTACAATGAGAAGAAAATAATGAGACAGCGATATATCAAGCTTTTCTTTGTTATAATGTTGATAATTGCTTCACAGCTTGTATAAAACATCTTCAGAAAATGTGAATATTTTGAATAAAGAATGTAAGCTATAATCATCAAAACAAACAAGGCTTGACATGTGCCACTTAGAATGTGATGAGTCTGAATTATGAATTGGTTTCACAATTGAAGTTGGATCAGAGAAATCTATGCACTTTGGAACAATATTCTAATTTTCTGAGGTTCACCTCTTCAAACTCTTTACAAAAAAAACTGAAGCACTCTAAAACAATTATTACTCCAAAAATAGAAAAATGTAAATTTAATTTAACTCCTTTAAAGCAAAAAAACAACAACAAATCCAAACTTGCTCGGTGCATATATTCAACATTAATCAGTGGACCAACACATATTTTAGTCGCAAGATGCCATCTGATTAGACGAGACAACCAACCGATAGCTCTATTCCCAAGAAGAAGAACCTAAAATGTAACATCTATCCTGCTTTATTATCTATTGCGTATATCTATTGCGTTTACTGCAACTTTATTCATACGTCCTCTTGAGCTGTTTTATATTCATACTCCTATGTGACAATTGATATAAAAGCAATTGTAGTTATTGCTTGCATGTCACTCAGGAAATTCTCTCTGCATTGATTATGTCAGCTCAGCTTGAGAAATATGGATTTCTGTGTTTGTTTTTGTGGCAATGAGGGATATTTGCATTAGATGAAGTGTCTCGCATGTGTCAGATAGTGTGTGGAGAGTGGAGCAGCAGTGACAGTGTGGTGCTGGTTATCTTCTGAAGGACATCTGCTGTGCGTTTGCCAGGGCTCTTGGAGGTTAATCTAATCATGGAGCTACACAAGAGCCCAACTTCCTGTTCACTCGCTCGGGTAACGAGAGCTGAGGGCCAAAGGAAGTCCATTCTCTGCATTCAGAGTTTTGTTTTGACAAAGCCAGTCTTTCCTGTTTCAGTCAGGCAGCGACCCGCCCTGTACATCCTATTTCACAATAGTTTTACTGTAGACTTTTAGAATTGTTTTACTTTGGAAAATTCACAAACAAAGACTGATAAAGGAACATTGTGTCAAGAACATAAAATGCATACATGTAGTTGTAAATTGTGGGCCAAAGCTCAGAATGGATGTTCTACTTAAAGAAAATAATTGGTATTCATTGTTGCATTTGATTATTTGAATATACTGATTTTGCTTATTATTAGTAGTAAATTATTAGTCAAATATTTCCATAGATGGCTTAAATAGTAATTGCTCCCTTGGCAGAGCAACCAAACTATGCTATACTAGATCTATATATTTTTTTTTTTTATCTGCTTTGGCTCTATGTGATTTTTTTCGCTGTATCCTTTGTTTGAATTGTTTGATTCTCTGATCTATGTTGGCAAATGTACAACTCTGTAATGTCCTCCAAAATAACTGCCTTTGTGATTTAGGGTTATACAAAAATAAATTGAATTGAATTCCAGATGTGGTCGCTTTAGTCTTCCCGGGATCCATTCTGCATAAAATCAATTCACATTACAACACATGACAAAAATATATACAACACATGACAACAATATAAAAAGTAATGCATCATTATTATTGCTATTGTTATTATTATTACACCAATATTATTGTTATTACTATCTATTATTATTCATTTATTTATTTATTTATTTAAGTAATTGACATTTTACCTTAAATATATTGTAGAGACAAAGACACACAGGTAAAAAGGTAGAGGCTAATTTTCATCTGCAGGCCCTGCCTACGTGACAGCAAGTTTACAGTGTGCAAATAATAGATAAGTAATTAATATACAGAACATATCTTAACACAGGTCATTCACACATTGTTGTTATTTTTTTATATTTATGTTGTATGTATTATTTTTTTTGCCTCAATGCCCGAAGATCTAAACTCAACAATTTTCTTCAAACAGCTACTGTATATTGTTACATATTATTTCTCTACAATGTTTAGGAAATACTCATTTTCCTTTTAACCTAAATAATTGTTAATCAGTTTGCAGTTGTCCTAGGGTCCTACAGTACATTGATCAAATTCACTCACGCCAAGATAATTTTAGTTGGCTAATTATTTATAGATAACGGCTCCAACTGTTAAGTAGTGTTTCTGCATTACCACAATGGATCAATATGTTTTCCTCATTTCATTAAAGCTGTCAATACAAAGCTCTTAAGCTCTTGTTCTAGTAATAGTCCAGAGCCGTGGGTCATCTGGTGCATGTGGTCAATATATCTACTTCTTTTGTACAAGACCAATTATGAAAACAGCCAAATCTCTGGACTTTCCAGACTTGAAGCAGGGCACACACAGCCATTGAAAGCCCAGCTGGCATATGTTTGTTTGATACTGTGCGTGTCGTAAAAGGGCTATTTTATACGGAAGGAGCATTAATGGATTTGTCCTTGAAGTGTAGTCATATGGCTTGTGCTGCTGGCCAGTAAAAAGGCAGATCAATCTTTAAGACAGTAATGGAGAAGGGCGACAACAATGTTTTCACTAGATGCGGCAGTCTTGCTACAGTTATATTGAAGCTCATTAAATAGGCTTACAAAGACTTTCTTCTGTGATGCCTAGGCAGCAGAAAGCATGTCAACAAGCTGACTAGAGACTTTTCAGACATTTTTGATGCCAGATTGTATCAAGCTGTTACAAAGGAGAATTATAATTTATCAAAAATGTCAAGTCATTTAGGTGAGTATGACGCACATGGCCTCCATCTTAAAATGCACTTGTACCCTATTGAGACCTTGTCTGGTTACACTGTCATTTTTGTCAAAAACTAATACATGCGTTTATTATACCTATTTAAAGAGAACCTCATAAAATTTTGTGGGAAATGTGCATTTAGCAATGAAAACCAAGCAGTGCTAAAGCAGCTGAGGGGGTGCCAAAGAAACCACTGCACCTAACAAAAGAAAGTAGAAAAGGCAGATGGATTGATCTGCTCTTAATACTGCCATGCTATATAATATGCTAGTTTTTATCCTGAGAATAATGGTATTTTGTCAAATTTAGTCAAATTTAGAATATGTTCAGTATTTTTTGCACTTGTTTTTCTCCATCTCCTTCATGTGTTTTTCTGGGTGTGTGATGAAATTTAAATCTTTGAATGGCTGTCTGATATTTCTGAATTACTAAATACAAGGATCGTATGTGTATAGGTTGTATGTAACATACAGTATGTAACAAATGATTTTACTTCTTTCTCCCTGTATCTCAGTTCCTTATCTTATCCCATTTACGCTCACTCACCCCTTTGCCCTTCATCTGTTAAGGACACACAGACAAAGCAGAATCCTCTGTAATGACTGATGATTATCTGTCTCCTATAGGAACACTTCCTGGAGGTCATTCAGAACCAGGAGTTTCTGCTGCTTCCCACAGCAGAGATTGTGAAGCTGCTCTCCAGTGATGATATCAACGTCCCGGATGAGGAGACCATCTTCCAGGCCCTCATGCTGTGGGTGCGCCATGACGTGCAGCACAGGCAGCGGGACCTGGGGGTGCTCCTCTCCAACATCCGTCTGCCTCTTCTCCCTCCACAAGTAAGACTGATGACACAGTGCTAATGAGAGAGCTACATCAAACAGAAAAAAACGTCACTTACTGTTTTACCACAAGAAAGTTGCACATTTTGACAGTTTAATCAGACAATACATATATTTTGTATTTCTCTCTACATACTTATAGCAGCAGATAGAAATAGAGCCCATACTTTAAAGTAAAAAAAAGTGGAAACTATATGTGAAAAAAGTCAAGGGTAAAAAATGCTCTCCTATCCCTATGCTACCACTCCCATCAGAGGGAGAAGTAGAATACATTTAGGTAATTAGTGACTGCAATTACAGCCAAGCGATTGTAAAGAACATAATTTCACCTGAGAAACTAATTTAGCGTGATGTCTTAGTGGTACAATGATGTCATAGTATTACAGTATTACATAACAACCAGCATAATATGGTTGTGCCGTTATTAAAAACTATTTCAGTAATAATGCACTGGTTTTACATAACTGTAGAGGTGTCGGTTTCTGAGCATGCCCAGTCAGGTCCGCTCTGTCATTCTGGTTCTTCAGGAGATTTGAGGCTTCATAGTAAGTGTTGCCTTTGAGCTAAACAGCTCGGCTTTGACAGCAAGTATTTGTGCCGGGAGCAGTAGCAGTCTGCAGCAACAGACACACACAAAATTGGGAGCCGTTCAAGCTTTCAAAGGTGATTTATTCTGATGTCTCATGGATACATGCTTTGAGGTTGAAGAAACCCAACTCAATTATTTTATATGGTGTCAAATTCTCCTATGACTTCACTGACAGTCTGATACATATGTCTGACAATTATGGACAAAACATATACAAGGAAATTTTTATAAAGACAAAAACACCCATTATGACCTATCACTTGCATGGAAAGTACTGCATGAGTACTTATACAATATAAAATAATAATAATATATCTTTTCTAGCTTCTGGCAGATCTTGAAAACAACAAAATGTTCTCAGATGATCTTGAATGTCAAAAACTTCTGATGGAGGCCATGAAGTACCACCTTCTACCAGAGCGCCGGCCCATGTTCCAGAGTCCAAGGACTAAGCCCAGAAAGTCCACTGTGGGAGCGCTGTATGCTGTTGGGGGAATGGATGCGACAAAGGGTATCTTTAACAAATCTTCTCCACAAGCATTGACCCAGAGTGCCTTTCTAATATGCAGTCTTTGCTTTAGGTTCTACAACTATAGAGACATATGACCTGAGAACCAACACGTGGGTCCAAGTTGGAATTATGAACGGCCGTCGGCTTCAGTTCGGTGTGGCTGTCCTGGATAACAAGCTGTATGTAGTCGGAGGCCGAGATGGACTCAAGACTACAAATATGGTAGAGTGCTACAATCCAGTCAGCAAAGTCTGGTCCACAATGCCTCCTATGTCCACGCATCGACATGGGCTTGGTGAGAGAATGGATTTTTGTACAAACGTTTAGATGGATGGATGTACTTTATTGATCCAATTGAAAATGATCTACACACTCAATATTAGTCACACATTCCCCTTTTTGTATATTGTTTACAGAACTGTATTGATTAGATTAGATTAGATTCAAATGTACAATGTCAAAACAATGCAACAAAATGCATTTTAGCGTCTAACCAGTAGTGCAATAGCGCAAGTATAGGATAAAACACAAGATACAAGTAAGTATTTTCATATATGTGAAACTGTACAAAGCTGCTGTTTCTTGTATATACAGGAATTATATTACATTACATTCAAGCAGGGGCCTCCAACTTGTAGCTAAGGAGCCACCAGTAGCTCGCCACCCCCTTCCAGGTAACTCGCCAAAGGATTTAGGAATAAACCAATCAACTAATGGTCATAATATTTCAAATTGTATAATTCATTATCATTATTTGTTATTGTACTTGGACTTACTTTGTCACTAGTAACAAATATGCGATAAATATATAAATATAAATAATGACTGTACCCAATATTAGCCTTGTTCACACCAATATATCACCATATGTCACTTAAATGAGTAGCTCTCTGCCTTTATCGTCCCCGGAAAGTAGCTCTCTGGATGAAAAAGGTTGAGGACACCTGCATTAAAGTAAATCTAATGGGCTTTAACAATTGAGCGTTGATGCCTTCTTCCCTATATTGAAATAACAAACTAGTAAATTTGTCATATGGAAAACCGTATTCTGAGGGAATTAATAACATAATCATTGCCTCCTCTTTTTCATCTTTACCTTGGCTAGGGTTTTCAGCAGAACTCAGTGATCTTTCTCGCTTGTGTCACTTACGGCAACACATGCGCCCAAAAACAGCCGGATCTAAGCTTTGAAGGGTCACTTCACAGCGGGCAGGCTGTACAAAATCACACTTTCTTTAAAAGATGGACTTTTGATATTTTCTCATTCCCTTATCAAAGCTCTGCAGTCTGTTCTGGCCTTGCTCCTCTTCCTTTTATCCTTCACTTGTCCAATAAATCTCATATCACACATGCTTTTGATTTACAGTTGAAACAGGTCTGGGGCTAACAGAACAGGGAGATCTTGTCAAAGCGTTCAGCTGGCGCCCCGTGTGGTTGGACCTATCACTGTACATCACCTGGGTAGCCTTTCATCTTCTCACACCACAAATATGTCTTGCTGCTTGTGGCCTGAATATATTGAGAGTGAATTTGTGCAAGTTTAGAGTCAACAAACACTGTGTGAAACCTGCTGCTTGAATAGGGGGAAAGGCACGAACAAATCCTGTTTTCCATTCAGGAAATACCCATTCCATAAAAGTCTCCCCAACAACAAGGATGTCTCCGATTTTTAAAGCTCCAAGTAAATATCTTTTCACCGACAGTTGAAGTGCAGTGTTGAATCAATTTTATTTTGTTTACATCAATCTGAGAGACATGGCAGCTTTAGTGCAACAATTTTATTTGTCAGGGGAAAGAGGTTCTGTTTGCATATGCAAAAGAAAGTGAAGTAAAACAGTTGTTTGGTCAATTATGGTGAAACATGATTCATTCATCATCATCGTTTATTTTCATCTTATTGAAGCCGTAATATTTGACATTCAAGTACTCAAACAATTATGAATGTATTCATAAAGCACATATTCAATAGAATATGTGAACCACTTTTGTTTAGCGGCAATGGTAGAGCTCAACCAATGACAAAGAAACACACTGTTTTCCAAAAATATGCATTTGACAACAAGTCCCCTAAAGCCTCTTTATGACAGACCGTGAAGTTGATTATTCATTCCACACGTTAACTTACAGTTGTGCCCTTAGGCCCAACTGCAAGTTAACGGCTTGTTTCTGTGCCTGCTGCAGGTATTGCTGTGCTGGAGGGGCCCATGTACGCGGTGGGGGGCCACGATGGATGGAGCTACCTGAACACTGTGGAGCGCTGGGACCCTCAGGCCCGACAGTGGAACTATGTGGCCAGTATGTCCACCCCCCGCAGCACCATGGGCGTCACTGCGCTCAATGGAAAGTGAGTGAGACTTTGTTCAACTGTAAACAGCAGTGTGTCACGAGACGGGATCTCAGTCCTCTGTGAATCCTCTGTGGAGCACCCAGGACACTCCAATACAAATACACTGCTGTAAAGATGAGCCTGAGCCACAAGGATAAACAGAGCCTTCTGACTTTGTCCTTTAACTGTCTGAAAACATGAAAGTTTAATTCAGTTTAATTTAGAAGTAGTTTAACTGTAATTAAAGTACAATTAAGCATACAATAACATTTATTTCTGTAATTTAACTTAAAATCTATTTATGATATAGACTCATTACATACATGCAAAGTGACATACAGTATATTAAACCTTCTTAAAGTTCATCCTCAAAATATTCTAGGTTTATGGGATGGTTTTACTTTGCTCTTCTTTACAAGCTGTGAGCTAATTACCAACATTACAACAAACAAAGGCTTGATATATCTCATGTATAATGAGTATATATTTGTTTGACATAGTATACTTTTGAACAATATTATAATTTTCCGAATTTAACCTGTACATTCTTTTTCTCATGGTTCATACGTGTGGACAGGAGTCGTTAAAAATAAGAAATGAATAAAAAGGCAAAAAAGCACTGTGACTCAAATTTCAAAGTGTGTAGAGCAGCAAGCACCAGTACTTTGAGGCTCTCCAGCGAGACAATGCAGTTCTGATTAAATATCATTACAGGCCTATAATTATACGAGGCAACTGTTTCTTTTGTAATTATACAGAGACCACACAGAAGGCCAGCTTTTGTTTAGCTCTTGGACACACACAGACAAACCCGGGGCACCGTTTGGTTATATCACATATTCATATTTACGCCACACGTGTTGCAACAAAGAATGAACCATTTCACATTTGTACCTATTTGCTAAACCACAAAGAAGCCTCCTGTCAGCGCTAGAAGAATCAATTGCTCTTGTCTCTACTTGTTGCGAGGCCTCAGAGGTACAGGCCGTTCCAGCAACGTTATGTCATGAAAGTGAACTATCCGGAGCAGTTTGACTTAAAAACAAGCTCTTTCCACAAGTTTAGGAATTTGCTTTTCTAATCCGTTATCTTGTGTTGAACAATGTGTTTTTTCAGACTTTTTGCAGTGGGAGGCAGGGATGGCAGCTCTTGTCTCAGATCCATGGAGTGCTTTGACCCACACACCAACAAGTGGAGCATGTGTGCACCCATGACCAAGAGGCGGGGGGGCGTTGGCGTGGAAACGTACAACAACTTCCTGTATGCAGTGGGAGGACACGATGCCCCAGCTTCTAACCACTGCTCCAGGCTGTCTGACTGTGTTGAGAGGTCTGTACAACTCACTCTGAAAATATGTGTGAAGTAGCATTGGAAAATATGCGTGGAGGAATGAGGTTTGGCTTTGATTTGGTTAGAAAATAACAACAGCACCAAGAGCCAACACAAAAAAGAGCAAAAGGAGTAAAAGAACATTTGGATTTAGCTCTCTTCCATAAAGTACGGAATTGAAACGGGGTGAGATCCAGCCATAATTGTTTAGCTCCCCCTGGTGGCCACTCTCTTTAATGGAATTGAGAGTTGATGAGTTATATAGTCTGTTACATACAGTATGCATTAAAAAAGAATCAGCCTTGTACAAAACATTTTTTCAGTATTTGTTAAAAGCATCATTAAAATTAGCTGTACCTTTTCTGAAACTAATAATTTAATTGTCTGAAATTAAATACATAAATACATGCTATGAATAACATTAGATCAGTTGTTTGTATGTTTGTTACGTTTTTGTAAGTATACATAGGCCCCTCCTCTGAAAATAAAAATCTAAAATCTCAGTCGGACTATGATCAAGGTGTATGGCTGGCTTTCACAGTGATGTCACTTCATTGCATAGTCCCTTGTGATGATCCATATTACTAGCCTATCTCATCGTCATTGATTAGCTTTGTCTGATTAAGATGTTATTTGGAAGTTGCTGAGTGCCTGTCAAAAAAATAGGAAAAGAATGTATATTACATATGTAAAAATGTATATTGTATCTAAATGAATATATATCAAAAATATATCAATATGTATCTGAAATGGGAACATGAGCTGGGGTTAGACCGTCCTGACCCTACTGAGGATGTGTTGTTGCTTCAGTAATCTTGCACGCAGCTTCTGCATTTCTCCCTGTGTCTGGGTGGGTTTCCTCCAGGAGCACCGGTTTCCCCCACAACCCAAAACATACAACATGAACATGGTGAGAGTAAAGAATGGTGGCTTCTGTAACTTATGTAGAGTGAAGGAATGGTGACTTCTGTGATATTATTATTATTTAGAATTATGTATTTATATGTTGTAGCTTAGGTCCTGGATCTATGGCCCGTCTGTCCGGGAGGAGCAGATCCCTTTCTCAACTTGTGGGTCTCCCCAAGGTTTCTCACTTTTTCCCACTGGGGTTTTCTTATGAGTTTTTCCTTGCCGATGCAGGAGGGTCTGTTGGACAGTTAGTGTCCAACTAAAAGGATGTGGTGATGATCCAGGACACTTTAACATTCTATAACATGTTTGGAAATTTTTGTTTAACATGTGTTCTATATTCTTTATGTGTTTTAACTGTTGATTCTCTGATCTTTGTTGGTGATTTCAATGGTTTTGTTAAGTCCTCTGAGATGACTTCTGTTGTGATTTAGGGCTATACAAGAATACATTGTATTGTGTGTATTGTATTGTATGTATGTACAAAGTATGTGTAAGCAGACATATTTTTATATTCTAGTCTCAGAAGGAGATATTAGTTCATGAAGGAGGGATAGCTGTACGGAAGCTTTCTTGCTTCAGCCTCCTCCTTTTGATCTTGTACCAAAATGTAAGCATCTCTATCACTTGCTTTTAGGAACATTTACCATCAAACTGCATCTCAACCATTTTGTAGAGGCCTTTGATTGAAAAACTATGGGTTCAAAAAGTGCTCCTACATCTTAAAATATCCAAAAACATTTTTTTTTTACATTGCTTTCTTCAAGGAGTGAACATTAAAGGGTTAAGAATATATGTATGATCTTACAACCAATCTAAGTGCTATACAAATAATTCTGCCTTGCCTAATGTATGTGTAGTCCAATAACAGAGCTTTACTACAGCTCTAAAGTTGAAAGAGCTCTCTCTGTGGGGAGTTGGTCCTTTGTCGATGGCTCCCTTGCTGTCAGCTCAGTATCTGCCAGCTGCTACTCAACCCAACATTTACTTTGAAGCACAACTTCAGCTCCTGTACTGAACACAGCACCCCCTAGTGACGGCTGGAGAGAATCATTAAAGCCCATCTGCACCACAAAGCACACGTTTGAAGAAGTGAAAGGCTTAGTTTTTTATTTTATTTAATTTTTTTCTCAGGTACGATCCAAAGACAGACACATGGACCACAGTGTCTCCTCTGAGCGTGCCCCGGGACGCGGTGGGCGTGTGTCTGCTGGGAGACAGGCTGTATGTGGTGGGCGGATATGACGGACAGAGCTATCTCAACACTGTGGAGTCTTATGATGCGCAAAATAATGAGTGGACTGAGGTATGGCTTTCAAGACTCATAATTACACTGTCCCAGAGTTGGCCCAGCATGAAAGGGATTCAAAACAAAACATGGAGAACAGTTGGGAAAGAAGAAATCTCAAGTGTTTAATCAGCGATGGTTAGGGTTTGTCAGTTTAAATAACAAACTTGATTCTGATACGAAACAAACTCAATACCAATTTCAATGAAAAAAGGACGAATTGCTTTAATTTATAACATTACATTTAATAGGACATTATAGGTACTTTTTTAACATACACATTTATATAAATATAATTCTTTTGTTAAATTAAACACCCACACACACACAGGTCCAGGCCAAAAGCAAGATACAAAACATGGAAAGCTGAATGCAAAAAATACAAAATTGTCCAACATGTAGACAGTACTTATTTGTTACCATAAACTCTGGCTGTTACACACACAATGTCATCTAGAACTTTTTGATGGTACCACCTGGTTTAATGTTAGTTCTGATATGAAAATCATTCAAAAACTGATCAGAGAACTCACACTTTTCATAACTTGTAATATTCTGTTGAGTGCAATCTGGGTCAGACTGGTTTGCCATTTTGGTTTTAAATGGGTCAACACAACTTTTGCGTAACATACAATGACGGATCTTTAGTTCGTTTGTCCCCTTAAGCCTAATTTTTGTTCTTTTTTGCCGCCTCTACAAACCCTACAACAGGAGCGTGTCTGCCTGTTAACCTTCTGTGTCTTCCTGTAGGAGGTCCCTCTCAACATTGGCCGAGCAGGCGCCTGCGTTGTGGTGGTGAAATTGCCTTGAGCGCTTTTGTCTCATGACGGCGAGAAAAACAGGCGGCAAAGACGAGTGGACAAACAAAGCAACAGATCAAGGACAGATCCTTCGAGAATCATTGTTTGATTTTTTTCACCAGCTTTAACGCGGCTCTCCAGTTTGTTTGGGAGCGGAGCACATGCAGAGACTTGCCTATAAACCATTGTCTCCATCATTAGCGCTCTGTCTGCCCACTGGGAGCACTTGCCCAGAGACTGGAATAAGCCGTGCATTCTCGGCATTCTCAACCGATCAAGAATGTTTTCCATTTTTTTCTTGTTTTTATGAAGCTGGCAAAGCTGTAGCGTAACCAGTGCCAAACCCATGCTCCGCTGGGTAGTTCTATGAAAAGTTTTGTAAATGCCGACACTTTTGAGTTTTAGAGCTTTGTTTTTTTATGAGAGACTGAGGTTGTCAAACTTTATAACAGTGCTTTTATCACGTCTGACGGCACGTTTTATCTAATAACCGCAAGTATAGCCATTCATGTAAAAACGTGTCAGTGCTGCAGATGAACATTGAAAAGACAGTAGCTCTTCACTGGCTTTTGAATAGAGGATACTTTCTATACAGCAACCTGGCTTCCTACAAACTTGTTCTTAATTTGTCTCACATATTTTTCTCTTAATTTTATATGATTTTAGTAGTCCTCTATATCTTATAAAGGCCCCCCATTGTTGCCTGTTTCACATCAAATTTCTGAAAAAACTGGCAACTAAAGAGGCAAATATATTAAGCAATTTTATAACTCTGCTGCAGAACACCAAAGTATTTTACCGTCTTCTTACTTATGAAATAAAGGTTTACAATAGCGTGTATTAAATATATCATATTGATATTACACTTGGCTGTAAAACAAAAATGTCAAACGTTCAAATGTTGTGGTGACGCAGTGACCGCTAAACCATATCACCATGGCAACTGTGGCACCACTCTTAACAGAAATATTTATACAAAGTAGCATCAAAGTCTGTTTATGTCATGAATCTCCAAATAGTGGTGTTAAATCATGAAACAGAGATGTGCGTTTTACTGTTCACGTTAAAAAGGAAAAGCAGAAGTGAAATTACACTGATTGGTGCTAAACCATTAGTAAAGTCTTTTTGTTTTTTAAATATTTATTAGAATGTATACATTTTATTCAAGCCATGCTCTGTATATTTCAATTATTTCTAAACCAGAAGCCATTCCTCCATGTCTTCAGGTGACGCATAGAAGACTTTTACAGAATGATCATGTCTATTTCGTGTATCTTTTGCCTTTTTGTGTTCTATTGTTTACTTTTGGTAACACTTGCACTACTGACACGTCACAACATCTATACAGTGACCAAACTGTTTGCTTTATTTTGAACTTTACATTTGCCCTGCCTATAAAAGTAACAAATGTAAACATGTATTTTGAGGCCATCTTTTGACTTCTATGTTTTTGTACAGCATGGAAATAAAGCGACCGGTGTCTTTTATGCATGTTCAAATCCATGAGGGATGCCGCCACAGTGGTCAATGCTTTCTCTTCATTTCCTGGTAACAACGTATTTACAAACCAAATGTCCTCCCACTCGCCCCGAAATGTTTGCTTACATTTGAATGACTTTGCTTACTCGAGCACGCGACATCACCTCCAACCCTCTTTCCTGATTTTTATTAGCAGATTCTGAATCCTATTTGTTAAAGGAGACACAGCGAAGAATATTGACCTAGTCTTTGTTGTTGTTTTTTTATAGCTTTTAATCATTGTCCTCTCATCATAAACAGATCTGGAATAGTTTTTAGATTCATCCTCGCTAATCGCTAATATCAACAACTTATGGCACAAACATGTCCCCTGTCCCTTCTGTATAAAATTTCTTGTCTCAGGCGTGTAATAGTTGTCGTGAGATTAAATGAGGGCGGATCCAAAATGCAGGAATGCTAAAATAATGATGATCAATTTAAGTCCAAGATGCAAAAACAAACTCCAAACAGGATTTAACAATAGACCAGCAACAAGGGGAGAGGAGCACAGGTACTTATGACATGGAGACACAGGCAGGCAATCAACACAGAGGAACAGCACAGGAAGTCAAACTTGAATAAAACCCAAGAGAAATTAAGTCAAAATAAAAGTAAAAGTGACACAAAATCCACACCATGACAATAGTACGACGCAATAGTTCTGTTCAGTGTTTGCAAACAAAGACAGCTGCAGATGAGCGTGCAGTATATCCCTTTGTAAACTAGAAATTGTGGTTAGAACAAATACTGAACAGTGCGACAATCAGCATCTTGGTATTTTGATGCACTGCTCTGCCTCCTGCTGGTGTAAATTATGCTGGTCAAATTTAGACCAAAAAAAAAAACAATTTCAACTCCTCCACCTCAGGTGATAGCATAGAGAGTTGCAGGCAAAAAGCATTTTTTGTACACTTCATATTGTTTCACCATCTATTTTCAACTGAAGATTTAGCTTCACATTATACAACATGAACTATTGAGTCCCATAATCTTTATTGGCCCAAAAAAAGTATAATTTTATGTCTCTTTTCCCCACTACATAATTGGCGGCCAAACAGCTCCCATTTCAAGGTGAAATCGGCTTCAATTGTTTTTCACTTTTCCTGTATGACTCTGTACTGTCATGTTAAGTATTTTTTCAAAATTATTGTTTTGAATACAGTCACTCCTCATCACCACCATCTTTGCTGAAGGAGAATACTTCGAGTTAGACCAATAGGACGCTGTGATGGTCTGCATGGGCGGTGGGGTCTAAAGGCATGGTCCTCTTGCCTTTTGAAAATATGTCTCTCTCTGTACAATTTGAGAAGTAACTTGACTTTCACTTTAGTAAAAAAATGAAAGAAAAAAACGCCCCAAACAAGATTTTAGATGACAATAGAAGTGTGCTGCAACTCATTAAAAATAACCCGTGGTTTCTCCGATCAAATGCATATTAAAAGATAAAAAAATGACTGAAAGCCAAAATCTCCTCTGTGTGCTTGTGTGAATTCATGTGCTTGTTAAAATGTCTATATGGTCGGTTGCTCATTTCAATTCCCTCAAATTAGATGTTTCACACTTCAATCCATCAGTTATGAAAAACCTCTTTGCTGGTTGTAAAATTCCAATCATTCATAATAAACACAAAATGACAGTGAATGCGCCATTTATTAAACTTTCTTTTAATTAAACTTTCCAATATTGAATTTTCCCCCAAAATCCCCTACTAAAGCATTTGTAAGAGCTGTAATTAGAAAAAATACAAACAGGCCCAATACATCACAGGCTACTTTTAATTACAAGCAGCCATCAGAACTGTGCCTGTATTGTCGAAAGTCCTGCTGTTTTAGGATTACACAATTATAATTCATTAATGATTCCTGAATGGCATCGCATTGACAATAGGATAAATGAAACGCAATGAACAAACACGTTAATACATGCTTAATTTGAACATGTAGTTTTGTTTCCGGTCAACAGAGGGCGCTGTTATACCACTAAGGACACGGCTGAGTTTATCGCAGCGAGCTCAGTCAATCTTCTGAACATACCACAGTCTTCATAATAAATGTCATACAATATTAAGAACGATATGGACATATACTTGAGCTAATAACCCGGCATAATCATCGGCACGCAATGATGTAATGTTGGGAAATTGTCAAAGTCTCATGCTTCTTACTGCAGCTTAAAATACAGATAACTGGTCCAACTTAAAAGCAGATTGTGAGTTTTACAGGAATTTTTTGAGTAGATTCCAATTCATTTTATTTGCCATTTGCATTAAAACCCCATTGGAATAGATGTGATGTGAATAGAAGTCCCCAGTGTGCACAAGACAAGTACATACTGTAAATTAAAGCAAGGTTAAGAGTCCAGAAATAAAACAAACTAAAAAAGTGCAGGAAATAATTGACACTGTGAAATCGATCAACTAAAACAGTTTCAATACCAGTGCAATATCAATAAAGTGATCTGTTTAAACTGGTAACAGCTTGTGGATGCACGGCATTTAGACATGTATGTACTGTATTTATTAGACATATATGCAAGCAGGCAAATGCTTATGGTACCTAGAAAATTAAGTGATATTTTTAATGACATAGACTTGCATACACAGCTGACTACAGTTGCCTTTACTTTCATATGATAGTAATTGGGAACAGAGCATAAAGCGACTGCCCCAAAACATCACTACTCAGGAAGAGATCTGCATGGAGGAATGGGCCAAAATACCTGCAACAGTGTCAAAACCTTGACTGAGCATAGTCAATATAGCCATCTGTATATAACAAAGTGTTGAGATTGACTTTTGTTGTTGACTAAATAGTTATTTCCTACCATAATTTCCAAAGAAATTCTTAAAAAATCAGACAATGTGGTTTTCTGGATTTTTTTTCTCATTTTGTTTCTCAAAGTTGAGGTATAACTATGATGACATATACAGGTATCTCCCATCTTTTTAAGTGGGAGGTCCCAAATTGGAAAATCGGTGTCTTTTGCCCCACTGTAACAATCCTCGTTTTAAATCCAAGTGTGTAATACATCTTGCAAACAAGGCGAGTCCAGACTGTTTTTAACTTTTTCCTGCAGAAAAAAAATTGACACATGAAATTGCAGCAGAGCATAATTGTTCTCTGCCAAAGTCCTGACAGAAAAAAATGTGACGAACAAATCAAACAGTCAGACGGCTCAGGGAAAACGCCTGAAGAGGATTTGCGATGGTTTTATTGTCAAAACACAATGCAGAGAAATAAAATATATAAAGAAAGACGCATTATTCGAGATTGTCTGGGGGGACAAAAGACAAGACGTATCTTTCCACGAATGCCAAAACAAACTGTCAACTCGGAATAAGGGCGTTTCGTCAAGCCAGCCTAAATAAGCCTGTTAACATGACATTTTTGACAGGTTGCAATAGAGCGCTTGTGTCAGTCCAAATTTTCCCATTCAGGTGACGCTATGTGGACTTTTTTTTTTTTCTCGGGTGAAATTCAGATCCTATTCTTG